TATATATATATATATATATATATATATATATATATATATATATATATATATATATAACAACTCTAGTGATCTTATGTATCGTTAGTTAGCATTTAATTTACATTAGATTACGCTACATTCAATAAGACAAATACTTCACTAGAAATATTTAACTTTTCAGCTACATAATACAGTTTAGTAAAAAATTTGATGCATTGTATCAAACTAAATATATAGTCGGTATTCACAATTGGATTTTATATTTAAGATCGTTTTAAGTTTATCTTCAGATGATGTACAGACCGTTTCATTGACTACTCTATATTTGAAGATGATACTTAAGATTCAACCTTAAATATCGTATATATTGATGGATATATCTTCGGACTATGGATAAATCTTCTCCATTTTCAGGAATAGTTGCATAAACAATATTATGAGCTGTTGAAAGTATTGCAATAGAAATGCTGCAGTTAACAATAAAACATTATAAAACGCGTTGAATGCTGTATCGATCATGATAGTAAAAATTTCAAGCAATTTATGTGTTAATAAATGTTTCATGAAAAAATATTGTTTACTTTCTCAAATTGTTTTATATTCCAACCTATTTAACATTCAAAAATATTTATAATACAATTTATTACTTTAAAACTTAACATGCCGATTATCTCGTAAACGATGGATGCTTTCCAGTTGCATACACTGTGTTACACAAAACTAGTTTATTAGTTGTATATTATCTTACCAGATATTTTAGATAATATGTGACCAATAAACTGGGTTTGTGTACGTGTGTGTCAAGATATGTTAAGCATTTGGAAAGCACTCGATGCGTAGTAACAATTTTTTACCGAATTCTGATTGCAAATAACCTCTACTGCGTAAATATGCAAAAAAAATTATAGGTATTTATTTAAAAAAACTAAATTGAAAAAACTAAATTGAAAAAAACTTAAATTGACTATTGTTCATAACTCGAAAAAGTCACTAATAAACAAAATTTTTACATGCATTTTGATTAAGAATCATGTAAATTTCGCTTATTAAACTTTCTTGTAACTTCAACCAGTTACGAGATATTTGCTCGGACATTTATGGACGGACACCCTGTATATATTATTATTATATATTATATAATAATATTATATACAATATATATAATAATATATATATATAATAAAATTATATATAAAAAATAAAAGAACTTGATAAAAAAAGGAAGATAAGTCCACATAATATATAGAATTTCTCTTTGACTTAAAATCATATTTTTTGGCATGAGATTATATCAATCATCATTTAATTCAGTCAATTCATTCTTACGAGCACATTTACCGACGCGATTTACTGACCGTAAACCGTTGCCGTGAAGATTTGTAGTTTTCGACAAGTAGTGGTCATTACCGTAACGCAACTTGCCGTCGTACCATGTGTCGATATATTTTATTTCTGTGACATCTCTTTCACGCGACGGATAATAAACAGTGGTGAGATCGATACGTTCAGCGAGAATTCGCTCACCCAAACGATACTTGTACGTACTGTATCGCCGCACGAATACCACGTTTATAATTCTGTTCCAGATATAGTGTAATTCTGGCTTGAATAATCGACTATCGTATAAGAGCAAAAAATAACCTCGCGTGTCGAGAAGACGTGCTCTATAAAAGTAGAACGTTAGAGAGTCAGTTCGAGTTGCGCCTTGTAAGACGTGAAAGCTGAACAAGAAGATTTTGACAGAAGAAGAAAGAAGAGTGTATGTAAAGAATAAAATAATGACTCTATTATTGTCAGTTTGGTTTCTACGTTATCGACTTCTTTTTGCATTATCATCTTATTGATATTAGATAACATACTCTTGAGCATATTGTAAGAACCGTGATGTCAGGAGTCCATTTGCGATTAGTATAACGTACGCGTCGCAACCAGCCGCTTTTATATGCCGCAGCATCTTCTCTATTGGTTTCCTCGGCCGTGAAAAATCCTCATTCTCGCGTACGCCTATCTGCATAAACACAAGTATGTATACATAGAAAAAATTATCAACGCTAAATTTATTTCACTCATTACGTTGAATAAAGTTAGACTTTTTATTGCGTTCACATTTAACTTTGTAGCTGCGAAAGACGTACATATATGTGCTCTAAGAAAGTAACTGCTTATATACGAGAAGTATATTTATATGTCCTGACATATATCCATCGATATATACGATATTTAAGGCTGGATCTTAAGTTTATCTTCAAATGTTGAGTAGTCAATGAAACGGTTTGTACATCATCTGAAGATGAACTTAAAACGATTTTAAATATAAGATCCGACTATGAATATCGACTATATATTTGGTTTGATACAATGCATCCAATTTTTTACTAAACTGTGTTATGCAGCTGAAAAGTTAAATATTTCTAGTGAAGTGTTTGTCTTATTGAATGTAGCGTAAATTTGATGTAAATTAAATGCTAACTAACAATAGCAATCGTAATTGTCGTTACGTGAAAGTTACTTAGGACAAGATTATTGTTCATTTTCAATGAAATTAAGTGTACGCCGTGATACTTACGTTATACATCGGCATAAGAAACATTGCTTCAATGGTACGTGCTTCAACTAATCCACGGTAAGCTGGATCAGTAATGAAAACCATACAATTACAGCGCGCAGCGATTTCCACCACGATTTGCTCGATCACTTTTTTCAAGTCATCCGTCTCGCGTTCACACTGAAGCATTTGTTTGTAGCCGCTTCTACAAAATATCAAAAATGTTTTTGTTTATTCGTGTATCGCAGAATTGTCACAAATTAGATCAGAACCTTGCGGCGATGACGTGAGCAGACAATCGTGAGAAAACGATGATAACTACTACTACTGTGGTCTCGAGACGCATCTCAAGTGTTTAGTTGCGCTTTGTCTCGTCTCGTCTATTCGTCGTGACTTTCCGCTCATTTCGATTATATTGATTTGTGTGAACCGTTTTTCTTGCATCATCATCATTTAATGACTTCATTCGTATGCAACCACGTTGATTTATTCAACAGTTTGATTCATAGAGTACGTCGACTGTGTTACACAATTCTTCGAATGGGGTCAACACGTTCGTTAAATTATCTTGTCTTTTAATATTATATTTCACCTCGGTGTTTATGCAATCTGCAACGCTTGATTTTCAGATTTAAACATAAAGTGCAGTGCAAAAACGAATTAGAAGCGGAAAAAATACGTCCAAATACGAAAATAATATTTATATATCTAGGAATATAATTTCCCAAATTGCCGTTTACAAAAATGACATTTTTTCATCGCAATCTTCTTACTTCTGACATAAATATCGTGTAAACTTATAATAATGAGCTTTTTATAATAAATATATTGATCGATTGGAGTCGATTATTTTCAAAAATATTCAACTGTGGTTTGTCAATTTGCCTACAACTTATAAATAATATTATATAATATTATAGAATATTATATAATATTATGGTTTATTGTAGAAGGTCTATAATGCGAAACTCAAAAGAGTTATTAGTCTGCACATTCGAGAAATGAAGAAGACGTTAATCTTGAGAACATATCTTATCGCTAATAGACTTGCTTATCTTACTACATGAACTTTGTGCTGGACTTTAAATGAGCTATTACAAAACGCTGAATAATAGCCGAGTTCTGATAATCACTGTCAAAACCACGAGCGCAACATTATTGCAATAAACTAATACATACGACTCGTTTTTATAAATGCGCTATCCGTTTACCGTGAAATAGAAAAAACTTTAAGAACGAAGCTTTAAGTATTGCAATAGTTCTGACATATATTCGATATATTTTCGATAAAGCAATTATCTTCGATAATTCTTGTCCACCGTCAGGTTTCTACCGCGAATGTCTTAGATTGATCCTAATTGCAAGGTTGCAAGAAAATTGACCGATCACAGTCAACTTTTCTTTTGTCGTAAGAAGAATGATCGACTGTGATTGGTAAATTTTCTTGCGATTTGCAACTAATATAGAACTGGCCTTACTTTGTGAGTTTTAGTAACGAAAGTAAGAAAAATACTGACTGCATTCCGATATTCACTGGCAATACCGCGACGGCATTATACATTAAAAGAAAAAAATATTTAAAAAATAAAAAAAATATTTGTTAAATGGGTACTATAATAGCCATATTTATAACAGCCATACGAATATAAAATATTTTCAAATAAAGAAATATACATTTTCTGAAAACCTTAGTAGTTTATATTATTTAAGATAAACTACTTATTCATAAATAAGATTTATTGTAAATAAATATGTTATATTAATACAATCATTGAATAAATATTTTTATTTTTCAGATATTTTTTTCTCTCAGTGTACGAATGCCGTTTCAATATACGTGACAGTAAACTGCCAAAATCATATTGGCTAATTGCGAAACACACATTCCAGGTAGCACAGAGAATTAAAAAAGAATTAAAAAAAAATTCAGTCGTATGTCCAATTCTAAGTTCATTTTTAGATGCAAAAAGAATTCTTCAGAGTTCAGTTCAATGAAAAAAATATTTTTATACCTAAAAATAAACTCAGAATTGGTGACATATGACTGAATTCTTTTTCTCTATGCGCTATCTGGGATAATTAATCTACAGTTATTAATCTACAGAAATTAAATTGTTTTCGTTGATATTAATATTATCCCCTCTTTTTATCAAGGAAATTGTCGTGGCAAATGACTCAGCAATATGTATCAGTGATGTACATTCGAGCTTCGCCGGCAATCGTCGTCACACAGATAGAGAGAGCAGTTTGTGTGCATGAGTAAAGGGGAAAAACGTTTGCTAGCTGGAGCTCGAACACAAATCACTAGTGCTAATCGCTATATGCGTGCACAAGTGTAAATATAAAAGCGGTTACAAATAAGCGGTCAAGATTGTTAACTTCAGCGATGAACGAGTTGACGCGATACATTTTTACTAGGACTGGTCTATATAAATATACTCTGTATGTGCGTTTTGATGTCTGTTTTTTAATCTGCGAAAACGTGCGCTTCGGGTTATCGCGAGTATGAGGAGAGAAAATGCATTTAAAAAAAGAACAGTTGCGTTTACCCGAGTTCAATAGTGGAAATCATTGGGTCCAATTGCACTTCGAATACGGGTCAAACGTACTAAAAAAGGTGTTAAAGAGTCAGAGAGAAACTTATATTCGTTCTTGTTTGGCTGAGCGTTAAGCTTGATTTACAATGTATTCTTTGCTTTCGGTTTCTTTCTCTTTATTTTAGTGCTCGGAATTGATTTCTTCTCCTTGCCACGCAATTGATGATCGCGGCTCTCAGTCTCAGGGCATTTGAGTGACGCGTTAGCGCTGATCAGCATGCTTTCCGAAAGCATCTTTGGTTGGCACCACATAGATGCGCCTCTTATAATCCCAGCAGCTGAGGCTTAGAACCGCGACCGTCATTTGCGTGGCCGAAATGAGCAAACGATTCCGAGCACTGCTTTATCTCTTTCTAACTTAAATCTTAAGTTTTAAGCTTAACTTACAATATGTTCTTTGTTTCCTGCTTCTTTCTCTTTATTTTTTTCGACTTAAATCTTAAACTAGACAGAGAACAACAGGAAGCAAATAACATATTGTAGATTAGATTTTAAAGCTTGATTTACAATGTGTTCTTTTCTTCCTGCTTCTTTTTCTATCTGATTCTATCTTCTATCTCTTTCTGACTCAGACCTTAAGCTATAAACCGAAAAAGACAGGAGACAAGAAACAGAACGCACATTGTAGATCAGGCTTAAAGCCTAGTTAATTCTTGCATATACTAAGTGTAATAGAATACAGATAAATTAAAAGAAGTGCATTTGTTCTTCTCTTGTATTCCAGTATAACAACAGTGTACATTCTGAAAAGAGAAGAAAAACGTATACAAATTGTAAATATGAGATTTATTTTGTAAGATATTCATAATTTTATATAAAAAATTAGTTGCTATCTATATATAGTAACGATCACGAAAAATTGAGTGATTGGGCATTGAATAACAAGATAGTAATGAACAAATATGGAAGTATTAACAAAATAAACTCATTGTACATTAAATTATTGTAAAAATATGGTTGTAACATATAGTATATATCAATTTTTTTATACCCCTTACTGATATGTATTCTATGTAACAATTATAGTTTCTTAAGAGGAAAACGCTTTTTGAGCACAATGAGGACATCAACTGTCAATAATTTGATAAGTGACTTACCAAAAGGACCACTAGATGCTTATAGAAAACGTGCAACGTTTGACTGGAAATTATTCAAGTTGGCCTTAAATGGAGAGGATTCTCTAAAACAACAGGTATACACACAAAACGGATGTTAATATTTTTATCAGATAATTTAAAACTAATATATATTTATAAACTAATATATATTTAAAAATATATTTATAAACATCTGAAATATATTAAAAAATAAACAATCAGAATACCTTATGGGACCTGGTCAAAACCAATCCATCATTTCAAAGACTACCAAGATCAGCAACATTGGATCAGATCCGAAGACGCTGTAATGCTGAAATACAAGCATTGCGTGAGGCTGAGTTCCAAGTAATAATGTATACATATATATATATATATATCTAATTAATAGTAAATATAACACAGCTCAACAATTATTTTCAACAAATCTTTTTAAATTCATGTAAAAGTGTTTCATACATTATCAAAATCGAAGTATTGCTTATTTAATTATATAAAATTATATTAATATAATTATATAAATTATGTAATCTTTTTAGATACTGGGAGATCAAATATGGTTACATAACTTTTACCATTATGACCCATCTGTATGCATAAAACTGGGTGTTTCTTGGGGCATGGTGCCAAGTAGTATATTAGCATTGGGTACTGATCAACATGGTTATCTTATAGAAAAGTTTGTAGATGGAAGTGTACGTATATGTTGCAAAATAATATAATATATAATTACTAGAAAAAAAAATATATATATTTATATTAAATATATTAATCAATTAGTATGTAGGCTGTTTTGCCTTAACTGAAATTTCCCATGGAACTAATGCAAAAGGCATGAGGACCACAGCGACATATGATGTAGCAACAAAAAGTTTCATTCTCCACACACCAGACTTTGAGGCTGCAAAATGTTGGGCTGGTGGTTTAGGTAAGCTACAAGCTACAAGAGTAAAAAAGAAAAATTGACAATTAAGATAACATTTTCTAAATCTCAATCTAAATATAAGTTTTATATAAAATTATCTCTCAATCTTTATGTATTTAGGAAAAGTTGCAACACATGCCATCATATTTGCAAAACTAGTTACACCAGATGGAGTGAATCATGGTTTACATCCTTTTATTGTACAGATTCGTGATGTGAGTACTCACCTACCCTTGCCAGGGGTCACCGTTGGTGACATGGGTGAAAAGATAGGACTGAATGGAATAGATAACGGATTTATGATGTTTAACAAATATTACATACCACGTAGCTGTCTGTTAGATCGCACAGCTAGTGTTACTGAGGACGGGACATATTCGCTCGCTATAAAGAACGAGAGTAAAAGATTTGGTATGCATATATGATAAAAGCAATAATTGGAACAATAATATCGTTATTTCTTCGCAATTCATTGTCATTTACCCACGTTGGTACAGGTTCATCATTAGGTGCATTATCAGGAGGTCGTGTCGCTATTACCAATATATGTTCAGAATATATGAGTCTCGCGATTGTGATCGCAATACGTTATTGCGCTGTCAGAAGACAATTTGGTCCTACAGAGGACAATGAATTGCCAGTCATAGAATATCAAACGCAAGTACGTACATCACGGTTTTCATTTCGAGCTCTGCTCAGACAGGAAACAAAAGTTATTGTAATTTATTACACATCACGTATTTAATATTTCAGCAATGGCGATTATTACCTCATCTAGCCGCGACATACGCGATAAAATTGTCTGCAAGAAATTTTTATATGAAGCTAATCGAGTTTAATTTGAGTCGTTTCGGAGGTGGAAACGAGAATCAAGACGTGATGGCCAGCAAAGGAATGGAGATACACGCATTGTCTTCCGCGGTAAAACCATTTTGCTCCTGGACAGCTCGTGATGTAATTCAGGACTGCAGAGAGTCCTGCGGTGGACATGGATACTTGAAAAGTATGAGCACTTCTGTGTACTTGCATTTGCAAATGCACTTGGGAGATATCCTACTCGTATATTACTACTTACTCCTACTTACTATTGTATGTATCAATACTAAAAGTATTTTTTATTATCAGTGTCACGGTTGGGTGACATAAGAGCAGATAACGATGCAAATTGTACGTATGAGGGCGAAAACAATGTGCTTGTTCAGCAAGCGAGTAATTGGCTATTAAATCAATGGGATAACGTAATTAAAGGACAGCCTGTACTATCTCCGTTTGGTTCCATAGACTTTCTGCCTCATGCAAAACAGATACTCAATACTAAATTTTATCAAAGATCAATAGAGAGCACGTTAGAGCCTAAACGTAAGAGGAAATTAATCTTCTATTATGATGAAAGATACAGTGCTAAGTAATGATTAACGAATACTATGACTGATACACTATTTTTTCCACTTTAGAGTTGATCCACATTTTCAAGTGGTTGGTGTGCTATTATGTAAAGAAAACGCATCAACGTGTGAAGGAACTTAAAGTAAATGGAATGTCTGATTTTGATGCAAGAAATAATTCTCAGACATTCCTGGCGCGGACCTTGTCTCTCGTATATGCAGAGGTAAAAGATACATGTGTAATGTTTGAATTGAAGCAAAAAAAATCACGAAAACTACTAAACGTGTGCGCATATATTGAGAATCGTTAATTTAATAGTTATTCCTTAAAATTTCGCTCTGCGCTGATTGTAGTTATTTTGTGACATTACAACGAAATGTGAAGAAATTTTTTTCAAAACGACATATTAATTGTTTTTTTTTTCTATAGCACTTTATAATGAAAACCTTCTACGAATGTTTGCAAGATCCAAAGTGGGACTCAAACGAACGACAGGTACTAACCGATTTGTGTTCTCTGTTTGGAGCTGTAATCTTGGAGAAGAGATTGGGAGATTTGTATGCCGGCGGTTTTGCTCCTCCCAACTGCAACATAGATAACCTCTTACGAGAAGGAATTATAAAACTATGCAAGAAATTAGTCGATAACGCGGTTGCGCTGGTCGACGTTTTAGCACCGCCCGATTTTGTTCTTAACTCACCTTTAGGAATGTCCGATGGCGAGGTATGCATATATATCGAATAATTTACATCAGGTCATTTGCATACAATAATGATCTTTTTTTAGATATACAAACACATGAAGGAATGGATATATAATGAGAAAGAGAACCTGGAGCGTCCGTCGTGGTGGACTGAAATTATAAAATCGAAACTATGATATGAAAACATGTGCAGTCTGCTTATGAAAATTACATACCTTGTAACTTGGCGATTTCTTATTTAAGTGATAACTCGCACAATACGTCTAAAATCGGGATATAAGACGTCTTAAAGATGTCTCTCAGATATCAAAATATAAGACGTCTTATGTCTCGATTTTAGACATTGTATTGTTTGGGAAAAAATACGTTTAAAGATACGTAAAAGCTCGTGATAAATGCACAATATCGTAAAACCCTCGTTATCGAAACTCGACTCTTCCATTTTTGTTACTGTAATTTGATAACTTTTACATTTATGTGTATTATAATAACATATTTGGAAAAGGTTTATATGACAATATTTTATCGTGGATTTATATATTGTTTACACGTATTGTATATGCATTGTAATATCTAGAGATACTTGTTAAAAGATATATATATATTTTATATAAATGTATTATATTTTATATCAACGTATTATCAAATAATAATATAAACATTTTAATATTCAAACTCTTACATATCTTTATCTTCGGGCTTTTCAATTAAAATAAGATCAAAGAATCAGTCTAAACGCAAATGCGAAAGTAAGAAAATTGGTACGTTTCGACAAAGTATAAAACTTTATAATTCCGTGTGTCGTGGTGATTCAGATAAATTACTATCTGCCTCTGCAAACCATTCATCGTAAACGACTTTAGGTTCAATCATCCAAAATTTGTGGAATGATACAGGTTCTTGCGATGCCAAATAACCTGTAGCGTAATCTATGGACCGTGCCTAAAAAAAACAAGTTTGTGCGCATAGATGATATTTCAAGATTATGTTATGATAAATTTACACGATATCACTGATCAATTACTGTGACTTCGATATTTTTTTGGAGTTATATGATTAGTTATACTTGATGAAACAGCGGAGAATGTACTGGCTGTGAATGAATATATCCGAGCCGGAGCAAGCAAGCCCCAAAGAGATGCATATCGTCAGGAGTAGTCGCAGATGGGCAATCGCAAATACCCGGTTCTATTATCCTATGAACCAAGGGAGCAGACAACACGACTCCTCCACCACCGGTTAAGTAATTGTAACCATAATTATAGTCCCATGTACGAAAGCCGTAACGTTCACCAATCGCGATCGGATTGGTAGGATTGTAGCATGTAAGCAAACGTAATAAACGCGCTACACTGTAACAGGATCCAGCGAACACAATGTTACCTGTTAGTTATAATTTCCTACTCAACAATGTAACTGTTACATGACAGTTACATTTTATATCCTTGCACATACATTCTTCTATTGTAATCACCTGAATATAGTGTCATCGTCGCTGATTACTAGCCAATCGAGATTATGTTTCTTCAGTATGTTGCTAGCTGTTTGCAAGATGGCATAAGTTTTGGCGCAATGTCCTTCCGTAGTATTCGGTACGACGTATGCATGCCGTAAATGCTTGTCTATACTAGAACAATTCAGTGATTACTGAAGAATGCAAATATATTGAAATGTATGTAATTTTACTGATTGTGCGTACCTGCTGTGTCGCTGAAATATCCTATATTAACTGTATGTTTCGCCCATGTCTGTTTAATTATAGGGATTCTGTCTGTATGGAACCTGGCACATGTTTTAACGGCAAAGTATACTTTTTCTGGAGATATAGAATTCTGTAAACATTAAGAAAATATTTACAAAAAATATTTTGCTACAGTTAAATTATTTTTAGTTAATGCATATATAACATACACAAGGATGGAAGAATCGAGGATACGTAGCGCAATCGGAACCAGATACAATACATATTTTAGATACATGTGTCAATCGTACATTTGTGCTCTTTAGAACAAAATTCGCAAATTCGTAGGATGCATCGATAGAAAAATCTGGTTTAGGAGCTCTGCCTTCGGAGACTTGTTGAGACAAACTGGAATATCGAATTAAATATTTAACATCTAAATAAGACAATATAAAATTTTATATTTTCAAAAAATTATACATAAGAAGCTTGAGACAATATGAAATTTTATATTTTCAAAAAATTATACATAAGTCAGTTTTATGGAATAAAAAAAAATATATATATATATGGTTTCTTTTAAGATAATTTAAAATAAAAATACAATATACCTTTTTAATAGTTTAAAAGTCATGGCAAATCCTGATGCAATATTCGGGTATTTAAATTTCCTGCTATGTTTTTCAAAATGATGAATAATAGTAGGTTCATGATCATATAGTGCATGTCCAATCCATAAGTCCTGCATAGTGGAAAATCTAATTAGAATATAAATTATATATATTTTTTTGAAAATAATAATATATCTCACCAGAGATGCACTGAATTTTTCAAGTACATTTAACAGCTTCTCCAATCGAATTACAGTATTCTCCAAACAAAAGAAGAACCATTGTGCATTTGGAAATGTATTTGACAAATAAACCAACAACGGAGTTATTATCCAAGAATCTCTGATATTTAGTTCATGAGACAATACTACTTCTGGTGCTTCCTAAAAAGAAGAGTGAATTTTATTTTATATATATAATGATGTATCTTCAATGAAATACAACATAATAGTTTGTTATGATTCAACCTACTTTTTCAAGAGCACTTGCTTGCTCATATATGCTTTTTCGTAAATAATCAGCATGAGCAGCATGATAACCTTCTTTTTGACTCAATACCACTACTACTATATTACTAGGCTCTAAAATAATTTTTTTGTTGGAGACATCTCTCTTCATAATATACAGTTTTAAAAAATACGGGATAAAAGACAACGAATGATATTTAAAGCTATAATTTAAATACCTGTCACCTCTGCATTCGTATTCATAACGAATAAAACGTAAATAAAACAAGCAGTATTAATTAACGATTTCATTTCTGCAGAGAGATTTGAGTTTGAATAAGATTGAACTGAAATAAAACAAGAAATTCACACATATAAATATATATATATACAAAATTCCTTTAGCCGGTACTCGGGCGCACGTGTAACTAACGCGCCAATTTCAACTGACTCGAACCAGAGAGAAGCCCACTGAAATATATACTACTTGGAACGCGCGCTACCTCTTGAGTGTTGCGGGATGAGAGAGAGCATGCTTATAGGTCTAGAACAGCGCTCTGTCTTTGTCTAGTACAGTCTGAACCAAGATCTAAATCGGCTGATTTCTAAACATAAGTTGAATCTCCGAATTAGGAACCATCTTTGCTTTGTTTTTTTTTTAATAATAAGTCGATAAGTGAATACTAATAAATGAGAAAAAAAATATATATTTTTTTTATATCTTAAACTTTCATTCATAAGCTTAAGTCATTGTCATTCAGTGGTCACTGTTTTTCATATTATCTCTAACTTTTAACTTGGATTGTATCATATTTTCCCCACTCTCGACTATACTATGAACCAGACAAGGATAAGAGAGGAAACAAGGAACCTCTCTTTCATCCCGCACGCCTCAAGAGGCAGCACGCATTCCAAGTATATAGTATATATTTCAGTGCTTAACGCCTACATATTGCGCATGCGAAGAATTCACCGCAAGATCTTTATACGTACTTATCATTGACCTCGTATACGTAAACATCAAAGTACATAACTCAATGTATCATTTGATATCACGAATAAATAACTCAATATTAAAAAAAAAGAAGATCTGTATACCTTTTTACACCGATTCATTCTCGTATTTAACACCAAATTACACTTATAAAAATAATAATAAACATTATTGTTTGAAAATATTGTAATAATGCTTGTACGATATATAAACAAATATTAACTTTGAACAAGTAGTGAGCCGTCAAGTAAAGCTAGGTAATTAACAGTATGTCAGACGACTGTATACGCACAGTATATCAGTCGTTACGAGAATTTGTGATGTGTCAACGACATACGAGTAGTTGACGTGATAAAGTAAGTTTAATTGTGGCCATTGTTTCCTTTGTGTACACTGTATGTCTCACAAGAACGTCTCTATCTGCGATATCAATCGTGAATTCACGTTTTATTTCAGATGCATATGACGTACTGGTTTGGTATAGATTTGGGCAGTTTTTTATTTTCTGGGTACGATGTTACTACAGTATGGGGTCTTCTGGCCACATGTTTAGGTTTAGCTGCTTTTGCAGTACTATATGAGGCTATGAAAATTTCTCAGTTTTACTTGCAACAGTTTAACATTAAGTCAGTGCCAAGGATGATTTCCAGCTCCTCTGAGAGCTCATCTCTATTATCCAAAGTTACATCAAGAACATTTAGAATTTCATCTCATACACGATGGTATGTTATTACTTCTAAAATTCTTTAGTGTGACAAGCTGTATTATACTTAAACAATATATATATATATTTGCTAGTATCAGCTGATCAAAATATTGTTACACCAATGTTGAAATATTTGGTTGATTAACAAAATTCCTCTGCTTATCTTTTTTTATTAGTATAAATTTGCTAGTATAAAGATGTATGTTGTATGTTGGAAAATATCGTATAAATTTATATATATACCTTGTATGTTGGAAAATATCGTATAAATTTCTTTGACTAATCTGATATATCCTTAGTGGTATTTGCTTTAAATGGATACTTCAAGTATTGCACTGGTCTCTTCATACCACATTTGCTTACATCTTGATGATGGCAGTTATGACATACAATGTGTATGTCACTGTTGCTCTTGTGATTGGAGGAAGCTTGGGGTATTGGCTATTTAGCCCTACACTTATACAATTAAAAATGCAACAGTTTCACCGCAAACAAGCAATCATAGAATGTGATAAGAATTGTGAAGGTAACGCCACTAAATGGCACTATAGGAAGAAAAATAGTTAACAAAATCTTAATATCACAATTGTTCACAGCTGTCTCGGAAAATCAAGAAAGACGGCCATCTACTGTCTCTATTGTTGCAGAGCAATTAGTTACCGAAATAAATATAGAAATTCACACACCAGGAGATGTGAATTCGACATGAAGCAATGCAACAGAAAGTCTGATATTATATACCGAAGATAGTTGTTATTATTACAATGTACAGTATATTTTTATACTGATTCTTCAAACTGTGAAACAGAAATATGTAATGTAAGACAAATTAATTACGTGATATTTGTTACAATGTTTGTGATGATTGTTGTCATATTTATATGCTAAGTAACATATAAAATTTACTCTGAATTTATATATACATGATATAAAACTTTGTTGTAACGATGCAACTGTAAAATATATTGTTAATACAGTATATCAACAATGCATATTCGGAGAAATTTTTTACATATTTTTCCATAGAAAAAGTCCATGAGATTTACTTGTGTGAGATAAAACGTACCATTTTGTATGACATTTTGCATCATTACGCATTTCTTCCTTTTTTATTTGTTGACTAAGGAGTCGTATAGACTAGTTGACACAAAATTACGAGTCTCGGTCTACAATATTATTTAAGCTTTAAAAACTAACCAATCACAGCCGATTGTTTTCCTTATATTTGACTATGATTGGTTAATTTTTGAGGTCTAAATCATGTATCGTAGACCGGATTGTACGCCAATCAGCGCATTGTGAGTTCGATACATGAGATCGATTAATCGCTCTAATCGATTAGGGAAAATGAGACTACGCTCGATTGTGACTGGCCGCGGCGCGACGATGCGACATTCCGCGCTATAATTGTCGTACGCCGTGGACGTGGCCTAAAGGATTCGTATTTTGTCATCCTTGTCATCGATGCACCGGGAGTACTGTCAAACAATAGGAGGAATTGTTGAAGTCGTTTCCAGCGAATTGATCGCGTCACGTTCGACATGGGAGACGGCAAGGAGAGTGAGCGACAGCCGTTGCTGAAAAACGAGAATGTCACGTACAGCTCCCACGGCAGCGATGCTTTCGGTATAAAATATACGTATGACAACGTGATATATCCGTGCGAACAAATGAGCGTGACGCGACAGTGCCGAGAACGCGCCGAGAAAAATATGACGCGAGTACCTCCCTCGTTTCCGAGAATTGATCGACTACTTGTTCGTTTGTAGAAGAGTCCCAATCCACCGTCAACACGGTGTCCACGATCGGGCCGGATGAGCTACCGCCGCCGTATCAATCCGCCACCCAGGGTGGCATGCCGATGGTCACTTGTAGGGTTTGTCAGGCGATGATAGATATCTCCGGGAAGAGAGACCAACACGTTGTCAAATGTTGTCAGTGTAATGAGGCTACAGTACGTTTGTATATGTTTTTTTTGCATGTGTACTTGTATATGACACCAAAAGTTTGTTGCTAAACTGGTTGCACTAACTTCCACTAGTTCTCTTTTTTCTCCCATAAAGTCTTAACCATGTATATCTGTTTCTCTTTAAATTTTCTGTACATCAGTGTAGCGACAAAAGGTGGATCTTAAGTCGATGTCTTATGAACTGTTTCTTCTTTACATAGCCAATACGGAATGCACCACCAGGGAAGAAGTACGTGCGGTGTCCATGCAATTGTCTGCTCATATGCAAAAGTTCTTCACAACGTATTGCTTGTCCAAGGCCCAATTGTAAACGTATCATTAATCTGGCTCCGAGCCCTATCACACCACCGGTACTATCTATGCCAGGCATGTGTAGAGTAGGCTGTGCCCATTGCCACGATACATTTTTGGTAACCTATATAGATGATATGCCAGATTACAGCGCAGAGAAGTACATTTTTAATGAGATTCTTATGCCTTTTCAGTTCAACACATTAAATAATGCTCTAGCTCGATGTCCACATTGCCGTAAGATATCTTCAGTCGGTCCAGACTTTGCTAGAGGACGGGGAATTGTATTTATCATTGTTGGGATTATAACCTTAATAATTGCTATAGCTGTAACGGTAAATATCCGACTTGACTCTTCTCGTTTACACCAAACAATTATATCTATAATACTGAGAGACTTTATGCTCGTAATTACAGCTCGGAACATACAGATATGTAAAGACGAATGGCGGAATTTATGTAGCTTATGTTGGTAAGTATTAATAATTTAGTTTGCTCGTCTCTTGAGATCTCTCTCATCTAATTCCGAATGCTTTTTCAGGTGCATTTTTATTGGCACTCTTGTGCTTGGGCCGCAGCATTTATTATTGTACAATGAAAATCAGTTTGATAGAGGGTCCCATGTAGTCCCCCTAAAACGATGATTATCAATAACCAATGATATAAAAGAATCAATCCCACTGAGATAAATGTCGCGCGTATGATCTATTTAGAACAAATGTTTATAGTAATAATATGACATTTTAAGTCGTTTTAAGGCAGGAACGATAGATATGTTATACATGGCCATATGCGCGTACGCAGCTCCGTATTGTTTATAATAATGCATGTATACATTCTCATATAATGTGCATACGCATATGAACGTGTTTCGTGATCAGGAAGAGAGCCGACGCTCGCGACGCTTTCCTCAGGTAAGATAAGGAATATAGGAAAATTTGGGGAGCCCGTATTCTATGAAGGATTGTTCCTCTGCACTTTTATATACGCGAGTTATAGGACCAATATAATCGTAGGTTCCGACTTTTATTTTCAATCTGACTAGCAACACGCTCTATATATACCTGCTTTCTTACAACACTTATAAAGTGCACACAAATAAATTACAACTGCGTACATGTTCATATTATTTTAAACATACGTGTAGGATAAGTCTTAAAAAAAAATTCACGCATAGGTCTATATACAAGAATCGTTTTCTTAAATTCATTTCTTACATTCTATATGCAAGTATTATATGTATCGAAAATATATAAGATCGCATTATGTCAAATATATATATATATATATTTCTGGATTTATATTGTAGATTTTGGCACATGAATGAAATTACGTGGGGTATAAACGCATGAGTGTATATATTAGCTATATTGGTATTAAGTAATGCTAGAAATTTAAATATACGGTTATTGTGTAAGGAATGTTGCGCGACATTTCTCAAAAATTATTGTAATAACTTGCCGAACTTCACAGCTAAACATTCAGAGTGTAAGGTACGTAAGTGTGACTTCGTCGGTTGTAAGAGTAAAAATATGTTACTTTTAGTGTACTAGTCTGCGCTTTTTTCTCTCCTATGTCACGTAGACATTTGCACTGCTCTTTTAAATAGACAAAATATTAAACTACATAATTTCTTCCAATATAACATCTTTCTCATGTACCCCGTATAGATTTTCTTATAAGATATATGTATGTTATAATTGTTATATATGCAAAGAAAAATAAATTTCGTTTAGTAAAATTAATATATAAATCCATTTATTACGTGAAAAACGCAAATTTATCCACACGAGTGATTTGAGATAAAAGTATGACTAAGAAACATTATCTTCGTGTATTGTAAGAGATAAGCAGTGAAAAATTTATTGAGAAGATTCCTGGAGGCGAAGAAATATGAATTGACCCTTACTTGTCATATTTCGCGCATGAGATCATATGATAGGTGTAAATATGTCAAGTGACAATTCGGTGTGACAATCAGCTGACTGAAACAATTGAAGATGGCACTTAAAATTCCCGCGTGGACGCAGACAAGAAATCCCTAGTATCGCAACGTACGTACGGAATAGTTGATTGTAGAAAGTGGCAAAGAGGAAAATCCGCAATAATTAGGAGGTTACTGAAAAGTATGTAAGAGAGAGGAGTTGATTAATAATATATCACGTTTCATGGTCTACACGATATCCGATTAAGTGGCTGGAGTATTTCGACGAGATATACGAACGTGAAGAGAGTGTTTTCAAATGTAGCAGATGTACGTTGTGAGAAATGTCACAAATTGATATCCAGGAGTTGTTTAACAAAAGCAGGTAAGACGATTTACAAATGTTGCAACAAAGCTTCGTTAGCATAACCATTATCGTTCGGTTGCAATATTTCATACGTGAATATTCATGCAAAAACACGAGAGCATTAGAGCGGTGTATTTTTGGAAGTAAATATTTTTCACATATGGAGTTGCTGAAAATAACATTCGGAGAAAACGCGAGCTAAATATATGACTATGGTCGGTTGATTTTCGCTTCAATCGCCCTTTCGATTTGATATCTATCGTTACGTGAGAATCGCTCTGAGAGATAAATTTAGGTCAGTCAGTTTAATCAATCATATGATCTTTTTTCTGCTTTGACGTCCCAGATGGTGCATCGTGCCAATCACATGATTATAAATTTAGGTTACCCGACGGTTGGCGTCTTCTACCTGTGATTTTGTACACACCATTGGGACTCCTACTTGTGTTACTACGACTGTTAGTAACATTGCAGCTTTGGCTCTTCGCATCACTATTACCTGATTGCAACTCCATTCGTGGGATCCTGAGTTGCGGTATTAGTTTTGCTTTTGGCATTATAGTCAAGATTGACAACGAGAGCGAATTCAGGGACAAACAGTCAAGGATAGTAATTGCCAATAATGTATCCGTGTTGGACCACTTTGCTCTTCGTCGAGTAACGCAGACACTAACCCCCAGCACCTGGGACTTACCTACTGCCTTGAGCAATGCATTAGGATTACAAAAGATGGACATGAGCAGTAAAGAAGCGCTAATTGCCAATATAAAGCAATTCCTCTCCACCTCTACATACAACGTTGCTGTACAGCCTGAGTTTGGCACAACTAACAGTCAGGTCGCTCTGTTAAAGTTTAATTCTTGGCCGTTTAATATAGAAACGTCTGTACAGCCAGTTGCCATCAGAGCATCGAGACCAGAGTTTATGCCTGTGCATCTCACCTCGTTGGCTTCAACGTGGTGGACAGAGGTATTATGGTTCATGTTTGTCCCTTATACAGTTTTCACGCTGAAGTACCTGAAAATCAGACGCAATCCTGACCACGACACTCTCGTGCGGGAAGTAGAGAGAGATATTGCGGATGCTCTGGGACTTCAAACGAGTTTATTCACCGTTTCGGACAAGACGGAATACGAGAAGCGTTATCTCATGGAGAGGATACTCAACAGAACGCGTTCCAGCAGAAGTTCGTTAAACTCGCACAGCATAGAGATGCAGAGGATGGTCCGTCAAGTTAGCGAAGTACTTCCATTCGTACCACATAATGTGATTCTCCTAGATCTTCGTACGTATTCACGTGCACTTACTTTTCATTCAAGACTCAATTATATTTCACGCGATCGTTACAGCTTACCAAACCAGCTAATTTTCATTGCAGTAAAGACACGAAACGTTGATGTCACAATCGCCAATATTCTCGATGGCATAGTTACTTATACTCCAGAACCAAACGCACCAGCTCAAGCGCCCGTACCGTCAACCGACAGATCCCAACCGAATTCTGCAAAGGACAAAACCTTGGGATCCTTGGTGACTTCTTCCTTTCAAAAGAGAAAAGCTAAGATGATAAAAGAAGCCAGAGAAAGGTATATTCAAAAGCATGGACTGAAAAATTGCTGACATTCTTACTACTGCTTTATTCCAACTAAAATATTGTCATTGACAACATGTATGTAACATTTTAAATGTATTTACTATTACATCGTATGTGAATATATCTTTATTTCTAAAATATGATCATGAGTATGTGTGGTATAATTAAATACCTAACCGCGCGTTACAAACATGAATGGCACTTCAACAGAAGTTATTAATATAATTTCAATCGGGATAACGAAATACATATTTGAGCAGCAAACAGATAGAAGCTTTTTACATTAAATTACTAATACATTGCAAATAAATAGAACATCACGGATACTCTGTATTATTTTTCTTATCTATAGATATTGCTTATATAACGGAGTAGTAGCTAAGATAAGATGTAGGCTTTTTGCTTCATCACTTGGACTCATTTAGAAATATATTTTTTAAATTTTAAACAGAAAGAGATGAAAGTTGAAAAGTTCTAGCGAGCTAAGTAATAAAAATATATGGATAAAAAAGTTGGCTCTCTTATCAAACTTTAAATACATCTTTGCTTTAAAAGGTTATCTTTTCATGTTATAAAGATCATTTATATTGATAATTATAAAAAAGATGTGAACAAAGATTTATCAAAGAAACTAGTTGAGACAAAATGATCACAATACCTGTAACATTCTGTGTATAGATATTTTATTTAATTCCATGTAACATTTATACATGTATACATTACCTAAAATTTGTGAAATTTCATCCTTACTTAGGAAAACTACAAAATACATTTAAAGTGTATTGTACATTTCTTACAGAAAAAAATATGAGTGTAAAAGATGTATTAATGTCTTTTAAATATTTCTTATATATTTTACTGTTTGTAAAATTTGGAAGACTTGGTTTGTACTATAT